GGAGACCATCCCATGGCCAGAGGCTGGGCCTCTACACTGGCCACCTCTAGGTTCGAGGGAGGGAATGGGGCCCAGGAGCAGGAGGAGGCCGAGGTGGCTGGGTGGCCCCAGCAGGGGGAGGGCGAGTGGGGGAGGGAGATGAATTCCCAACTGTCAGGTGCCAGCACGGGCCTGTGCGGATGAGCCAGAGCCTCTAGGGGAGGCAGGGACTGTGAGCCGGGGAGGAGGCCGGCAGTGGGCACAGAACCTGGGAAGGCACAGGCCGAGGCCGGGACCGCAGGTGCCCTGGGGTTCATTGACAGAGGACGAGGTGGGAAGGAAGCTCAGAATCTTGGGCTGGGCCTCCTCCCACACCTTGCCCGGCCATCTCCTCTCCTTCTCCTCCCCACCGGGGGCTGGGGTTCAGGGGCGCCCACAGTGACCGGCTGAGCAGCCCCTGCATGCTGCAGAGGCCCTCCCTGCACCCTCTCTCTGAATCAGGTCTCGCTGCTTCTTGGTTCCAGCCCCCGCCCATGTCTTCAGGCAGCTGTCAGGACCAACTCCACCGCTCACTAGCTGCATGAGTTTGGAAAGTTACTCAACCTCTCGGGTTTTCCATTTCCTTGACTGAAAGTTGGGATGAGAATACCTACCACCCTGGGAGGAATGCTGGGAGGAATAACAGAGGAACCAGGAAATTAAGGGGTGGTACCTAGAGGTCCCTGCTCCCACTTCCTGTCAACAGGTATTCATGCCTTCCCTCCATGAGACTGTCAATCCGTCATGAATTTTGGTTAGAGAGTTTGTTCCTTGAAGTCCCTAAGCCCCAGTCTGTTGACCTGTGAAATGGGACTATCTATTGTTTGGGGGGCAAAACCAAACAAGGTCTCCTGTGGTCTGATCCCTCCTAAATCCCTCACGCTAGTCAAGGCCTTAGGCTTGTCAGGCTTCCCCACACCACAGGGACTTTGCACATGCTGTTCCCCTGCCCCCCCGGCCAGTTGGAGTGAAGGAGCTGCTGGACCTAGTGGAAGGGAGTTGGCCCATAGGAGTCGGGCACAGTGTGTCTCCCCTCCTGGCCCCGTGAGCCCTGGCTCCCTCCCAGGCCCTGAGGACCTGAGGGGTTAGGAGCTCCTACGGCAGAGCCACCCCACAGGCCCGCTCCTTCCTGTCTGCTCCCCTCCCAGGGCTGCTGGGACCAGGGAGGAGTCAGGTGGAGGTGAGCTGCGGTTTGGCTTCTGGAGGAAACGGTGGCACTTTCTAAGGGCCCCTCCCAGTGCCTCCGCCCTAGTACCTCAAAGGGCCTTTGGGGCTCCCAGGGCTGTGCATCTGGGGCAGCTGCGGGGCCCGAGAGGAAGCCAGGGCAGAGCAGGGGTGGCCTGCTTCCTGCAGGGCTGAGCCACTGCGGGGACCCGGGGAGGCCGTGGCCGGGCCCACGGGAGCCCTCAGAGCCCTGCTGCCTCCACGCCCCCTCGTGACCACGGA